GTAGACGGTACGGCGTAGTATATATATATATATATATATATATATTATATATATATATNTACACTCTCCTCTATACACACACACACACAGCAGTTCAGTTTTCAGAGTGTTCTCATGCACTAGATGAAAACATCTGTTGGGAGAGCATTCAAGATCAAGAGAAAGGAGTAAAAACATATTACAAAGCACAGGGAAATGAACAAAGGCAGAATTTTCTTTTTCTCTTTATTGGTAGTGAACAAAGGCAGAAGTTCAAATAGAAGTTCCACGACACTAAATACAAAAGGGTAATATGGTAATCCAATGGATCAAACTCTGATTCATATTTTTCATATAGAAATCTCTGATAAACGATAGAACAAGACCCATTTTGCATCATATCTAACGGATTCCTTGGTTCGGACCGAAGAAGCAATGTCACTCAATCATTATCAAACAGACTGCAGTCCTTTTCTGTCCGTGAGGATCCCACTCGAGCACCTTCTAATAGGCCATGAACTAGATTAGAATCATTCTCAACGGATTCATAAGAAGTGATCCAATTTTTTTCATCGGGTCCGCGTGGAGACCAAAGATCTTGAGCAACTGATCCGACAGAACAACTCACAAGATAAAGAAGTGTCGTTAATTTCTTTAGGCTCGTTCCAAGTTCGAAGTACCATTTGTACAAATAAGAATCCCCTTCCTTACATGATTTCTTTTTCATATAGGTAGATATAGGATCTATGGAGCAATTACTTAGAAGAACACTTTGTACGAAGGACCTTCCTATCTGATCCTGAACGTATCTTACCTGGGATCGCAAATCCCAAGTTTGCCTATGAAGAGCAGATCTAATTGTATTAGTGTCTATAATTGATTTTTTCCATGTAATACTAATTTATAGGGCCTCATTTGTAAGTGCTACAAGATCTCGTGCATTGGAACCCATGGTTATGAACCCGAATCCGTTAGTATGGAACATCTTCTTTTCCAAGTGGAACCCCTTAGTATATGAAAGAATGAAAAAGGGTTTTCGTTGTTATGGAATAAGAAGCCTTCATATCTTAATGCATGTATTTAATTTATTCGGAGCTATTAGAGTGGGGTCCACTTTTTGGGGAATATGAGTCGAAGCAATACACATAGTTGTCGGATCATTGTCAACTGATGACATTATAGATGGTGATGGCTATAAAGTGGGACCCACTAGAACAGGAGTTGAGAAGTGCGTAAAGCCCACCAGAAAAGGATCACCCCAAGGTGGTCCCACTCACCATCATCACCTAACAGTGATGACGCCCAATGGACCATTGAATTGCAGCATACTTTCCCACACAAAATGAACTATAATAAGGAAGTCATGCACTCAATCAAATACATCTATGAATAATTTGGGGGAAACAGAACATACCAAGGATAGCAGTGTCTTTCCTATATTGCCATAAAAGTTCACTAGTGTTCCTGTAAGAATTCAAAGGATATGCTACATGAGTACTCAGGAGTAGAATGTTAAAATTGCACATATAAAGTACATAAATCCTTATTTCTCAAGAAATGGGAAAGCTAGAATACGCTGATCTATTGATTGGATGCCCATTTGTGCAAAGTTTGTTATGCCTCCCGACAAATCAAGTAAAATGTTGCCTATGCTCCACCCTTCTGTACTTTTTCGTGCAAAGTTCATGATTGCCTGTGAGCATTAATATCAAGATCACAACCAGTAATAGTGTGCCTCTGTACCCGGGCAGCTAAGAGAGGTCAGTGGCAATTGGAATGTGCAAAAGGTGGTTGAAGAAGATAGTGTTGACAAAACTCCTTTATGACCAGTTCAAAACACTTCATCATTATCATTGGTTCAGGATTTATAAAATAAATGTGGCAAAAGTTTCTCCTTTGTGATCACTTCAGAACTCCTTTGTGACCACTTCAAAAGACTTCTATAATTGAATTAAATTAATTTCTCATCCTTTCCAATTTGTTAAAAATCGATGCAAAGCTTCTTTGACATCAAGCAATAGAACTTTGGAATGTATACAAGTTTCATTATGTTATTTTTTACCATCCTTTTCCTTTCGATAAATAAATAAGAAATCTGAAGAAAGGAATTATATTTCATCCGCCCAGCCTGTATATCAAGGGCAACACACTAACATGCATTAATAGATGAAAATTGTAAGGGAAACAAAAACAAAACAAAAAAACAGAAGTTAACCTGTGGTATGTATTTGATAGCGGTCATGAAAACCTGTATGGAGCTGAAACAAGAAAACCATCACAAAGACTAGATTACTTTCAGCATCACCAAAGCGATGAGTTTGCAACATTAGTTAGAGATAAACATTCAGTTACTAATACACATCCTATTACACAAATCTATGAACTAAATCTCAATTTCCTGGATAAGGAATTATCATCATCATAATCACCCGAGCCTTATCTCAATTGCCTAGATAAACTAAAAAATCAAACCACCAAATGTAGTATGCCTGAAAACAAAGAAGCAGTTGAATATTAAACTAAATAAATAAACTAAATTCATGCGCTTGTGGTTTCTCAAAACTACAAGACTAATTCATGAGCATGTGGTTTCTCAAAACCCATAACATTTTTGCATTCTGAAAATGCAATCTTCTTAAAACCTTTCCGTGTTCTTCCACTTGTAAAACTCTGAAGTTGGAACTTGAACCAGGTTCTAGGTCCCACGTTGATAAAAGCATCCATGAAAATTTTTATTTACCCATTGGAAAATCAGCCAATAAGATACAAAAGATCCTCAAACATGATTCCAAAATAATCACTCAGGTTCCAAGAAAGACCTCCAAAAGTCTAAACCAATCCTGATTCCTCAGCAATATTCTCGACACATAAAATGTGATATGTACATTTCCAATCCTTAAAACAAACAGGGCACCTACATGCAAGCAGAATATTTGCTTCTGTTTTCATAATTACTTCTAATCCAAATTTTGTTTTAGTCAAAATAATCCCCATAAAAACCAACCTGATAACAAAAACCATGACGAAGGGGTCTTGGGAGATCCAAGACCCTGAAAAGGGCAAACAACCTCCCCACATCTGGACATTACTGCCTAGCATGGGTTGTTTTAAAACCAATGTTTGAAAAATCATTGATCCATATTAAAATCGCCCAATCCAGATCAGAAATTGTCCTAACTGTTCTCGGTGCCATAATATATCAGGATCTGGCTGCGTCCCCCCATAACCGGCTGGTTCAGCCAGGTCCGTATCGGTTCTCTGACCAAACTGGCCAGTGTTGGAAATGGTATTTTTTTTATTTTTTTCCTAACTAGTACTTTTTAAAAAAAGGGGCGTCGTGGGCCACCCCACCTTTAAGCTGTATCACCATTTGTTAGAGGCTCTCATCATTGGCTGATGCATTCCCCATACACATGCCTTTGTTGACTTCCAACTCACAAGTGTTACCTCAAGTTTTTGAAGTGTGACACAAGTCTTCCTTCTTCTCACTACGATTTCCATGGGTTGAATAAATGGGGCGTCTCTACCACTTCTACAGGGTGAATAAATGAGGCAAATGGAAGAATAAATTGTGAGGCAAATAACAGTAATTCATGGGATATTTAAAAAAAAAATTCACACCAACCCATGGAGCACCTTTAGTCGATACGCTAGACTTCAGAATCCATTTTCAAGTTGCTCTATCTATTATTCCTTGTTACAAGCATAAATTTATTTGTTTGTTTTCTATTTTCATTCAAACGTGATTACAAATTCATGTTTTGGGCAATAATGCGAACCGCTTTGGGGGATTTTGAGAAATCATGTATTAAAAATTAATAAATTTCTAAATAAATGTGGGGCTTTTGATGCATATAATTTATTGATGCATATGGTGTGTGATTCGATGTTTTTTTCATTTTTTAAATTTTCTAAAATTTTATGTCATTATTCTTCATTTTTTATTGAAAAACCTTTTTTTTGAATTTTTTAATGTCATAACATCAAAATTTATAAGGGGTTTTATATTTATTTTTAATCTTATGATATGGAAGTGCTTTCTAACATTTTGAATCATGTTTGATGTAATATTATAGCATTATAATTAAATTTATACATTAATAACCAAATCTTGTATATTTAAATTACATAATGCATTATTTTTTGTTATAGTTGTAAATAACATTTTTAAAATATTAGATGATATTATAAGACAAAGCTTAAATTTATTCTTATTTTTTATTCTAAAATAATTATAATTTCCAATTTCAGTATATAGTATTATAGTTTGTTAGATTGTGATAATTTTGGATGAGTAGAGGGAATTAACAAATGTTTGATGTGATACTAATTTTACTTTATAAGGGGTATTTTTTTTTTAATCTTATAATATGGAAGTTTTTTTCTAATATATCATAACTTATATTATAAGTAATAATTATACAGGCATCCAGAAAGGGAAACAATGTCTCAATATTCATCTATTTTTGCAAAATAATAAAAGTACATAATGTAAGAACCCCTAATTTTTTTTGAAACTCGAAAAATACTATTTTTAGGGATTTTTAATATTTTTTGAAATTTTTTGAAGCCAAAACCAACCGGATTGCCGATCCACCGATACGACATGGTTTCTAGAATGGCCGATCTGGGTCATCGATCTGTTTTTCTAAGCCTTGTTAAAATCCATAAAAAGGGGTTAAAAGGTTCAAGATCCCAAAATACTCCCTCCCTAGAATACGAACTGAATTTTACAAAGTAAGAAGAAGCACCTCTTCCAACGCATGCAAGTGCATCACTATCCTGCTAATCTTACAATCAAATCCCTAAAGTACACATAAACTCAAATAGGGAAACAGTCTATAAAAGCCTAGCACATACACTATCAATCATTCAAAACAAATGTACGGACCACCACTAACCATTCATTCAGCTTCATAACAAGAGACCCCCAAAATTTCCAATCATGTTTCCCACTTTCTCCATTTGCAAGAGAAATATGAAACCCTCAAACCCCAATAATATATAAGAATGATAACTCGGACCAATCTAACCTTCCAACATATAATAACACAATCTTAATTTGATTCCTTTAAGAACCAGAGAAATCCAATACGATGGATCTAGGAGGTAGAACGCTTAGTGAAGCCCATTTCATTTCACAATCAACAATTGCCAGGCAGCCATATCATCCTGTGAATCATCAACTTTTACAACGTATTCTTACACAAAAAAATTCCATAACATATCTCCCTTATTTGTCTTCAATGAAGTCAGTAACTAAAACTATATCAATAAGGCCCACGACGGTTGCAGTGAATTTACTCAACCCAAATAAATTGGTTTCCATTAAGCATCAAGTTCATTGGCACATACATCTCTGCATGAACATCTTCAAGAATCATCAACAAAATGGAGCATTATAACTCATCAACATAAAGTCAGTAACCAGAAAAATAATATTCGTTAGGCCTGTGACATTCCCAGTGAATCTACTCAATGCAAAAAGATTGTCTCCATTAAATGAAAACCTCATTAATACATGCATTTCCATATGAACACTTTCAAAGAATCAACAACATTTCACATGTTTATTGATCATGTCACATGAAACCAATATTTTCTCAATTATGAAAAAAAGAGAAAAAGGAAAAGTTGCTTACTTAAATATAGAGATGTACCAAAGCCAGGATTGCTTTGGCCAAGCAATGAACAAACAAACCGTGGCGACAGTCCACACTGCTACAGTAATTACCCCCGCGGTCTTTGAAACTTTCTGGGATCCTCTCTGGAAAAAAAAAAAAAAAGTACATAATTACAAGCAGACTTTCTACAAGCAAAAATCACATAATTGCGCATAAGGAAAAACCATAATCAGTACTTAGCAAAAAACAAAAAAAAAGCAAAAAGGCTATCAAAATTACAACAAAAAACACATTAATTGGGGATTACTTCATATATGAACACTTGAAATATGGTAAAGGCTGTCAAGACAACGGCATGAATCGAGAAGGCAACATCATTTGCAGCTACTGGAATCATCTGTAACAAGACAAAAACAACTCATAAACCACTAAAACTCGCAAGTAATGAGGATTTTCATATATAAGTTGGCCTGAATCCATATAAATCTAAAAAAAGTATGGTAAAGGTAGAGAGGAAAAGTTAGAGAGAGAGAGAGAGATAGCAATTCAAACTCTATGTAAGTGGGGGGTAGAGAGAGAGATATATGTGGTGATACTGACCTCATCAGAGCCATATTTTTCGAAATACTGGCGTTGGATGAAGGGGCTGAAGAAGAGAGAGGCGTTGTAAATGAAGTAGGATGAGTGCTTTGTGAAATTGAGGAGCAAAAAGTCGAAATTAAGCCCCACAACGCTGAAATCAAAACCAGGAGAGATTAAGGAACTCCAAAAGTAGAAGGAAATGCAGAGAGAGAAAGAGTACAGAGAGAAGAGAAACCTTTTTCTTCTGTAATTGAGGAAGACTTGGGGGTAGAAGCTGATCGACCATGAAACAAAAGCAATCCAGCCAACAACCTGGTACGAAACCTCAAGAGGCAACGAGTTCCATGAAGCCATCTCTCTCTAGCCCTCCACGAAGCCCTATGAACGGACTCCAGCAATCATCTTCACCGTTTGACTCTTAGAAGCCCATCACCTCCAATGTCGATTCTCTCTCTCTCTCTCTCTATAACCCAATGTCAATCTCTCTCTTCCCCAACAACCCGGGATCTATACTCTCTCTCTATAACCCAATGATAAATGGGTACTCCAAATCTTTGTCTCTCTCTCTCTCTTAAAAATTCAATAAAACGAGGGTAAATCCGTCTCTAAAGTCTAAACCATTGTCTAGGTTCGATGCACCGGGAGGCGCGCAAAACTATCCCAGCAAACAATTGTTCTCTCTCTAACAAAATACCCTCATCATCAATTTTAATATTAAAATTTAAAAATAAAACAATTTTAAGTTTTTTATATTTTTGAACTGTTTATTCTGAATTCTTTCAAAATGTTACGGCCTAAATTTTTTTTTTTTTGTATTCACCCGTGATTTTAAAAATGTTCAGGTTGGCACCGAATCATCTATCCGAGCCAGAAATCAGCCACCCATGTCGATTATGTCAATATATATAGGTATCGTCCAGGTCTAGAAGTTTGTTAGAGTAAAATGAAGTTTTCCTATAGCAAAAATGCTATTTTGCTATAGTAAAAACGTCGATTCATCGATCCAGATCGTTTTTTAGCCGATTTATTGTTTTTGCACATGTTTTTTTGTCGGTTTTTTTATTATTTCTACACTAAAACGGCGATTCGAACAGCTGATTCACAGATCCATATCGTTTTTTACGATGCCTGATCACCGATCAATTTTTTAAATCACTGATATTCACATCGTTGCCATTTTTATTGGCCAATGAAATTTTAGATCTAAGATCTATCTTTAGAATATGAAATTTTAGACCCAAAATCCGTCCCTAGAACGCATATGAACATGGACATGCCAAAAGTTTTTCCATTTATTTTAGCATTATACTGCACCCCTTGGAGTGGAACTTAAACTTGGGGGTGAGAGACCCAATTACGATGTTTTTTTGGCTTGAAATTTTGGGATTTGAAAGCATGATTATTTTTTAGGTTTGTAAAATTGTCGATCCGACTTAAAATCACCTAAGCTAAATTGAAAACATCAAGCAAACAATTGCACTTTTAAAAACTTCAAAATTTCCGTAATTGTCAATAATTTTATGGAGTGTTTGATATAAACGATATTGAGCTGCCTTACACTTCGATCAAATTGATATGTGGGGCAGTTCGATGCTGCTAATATCAAACTGCCATAGATCAGGTAAAGCTCGACACCACCCCAGAGATCACAAAAATAAAAATACAAAAAAAAAATATGATTTAATTCGATATTGCCAATGTCAAATTAAGGGCTAAACTATAATAAATACAATAGTTATTATCGAAGCTAATAGTAAAAATATGAACCGTATATATCAGCATGCATTGATAAATTCTAAGTTGGAATCTTTGGACAGAGAAACACTGGCACATCATATAGTAGTAAATCACGAGGAGGTGAAAATTTTAGCCCTAGCGATATCAGCCCTATCTGTAGTCCAAAAAGGGCGGCCATGTACACTATGCTCTGTCCCAGCATACTCTATATTTACTCCCTCCGCTAAAAGATTTATTTAAGATTTTTTATTTAAAACTTTAAAGTCTAAGTATATATGATTATTTTCACACAAAACTTTTGGATTTTGAGTTTTTGAATATCAAGATATTTTCCATTAAGAATTTGGATGGTTCATGTGCAATCTTGGATGCTATTTTTTAGGCACGTAGAGAATAAGAGATTTTTTATTTTATTTTTTCCTTTTGAAGTACGTCACTAGGTTTTAGAGATTGCATCTCCAAAATTTACAATCACAAAAATATTTCTAGCATAAGTTTTGCCCGAGGGAGTTTTAGAGATTGCATCCCCAAAATTTGTGATTACAAAAATAATTGTAGCGTAAGTTTTGCCCGAAAGAGTAAATCGACAACATTCTCTCTTGGGAGTAGGAAATCTTTTGGTTTCAAAATAAGAATCTCTGAAATTATAAAAATTTGTTCAATTTTTTGTTTTTGACGTTTACCTTTTTATTTTTTATCCTCTCCTAAAATACTCGAGCTTTGGATCTTCAAGTTCCAAGTAAGGCCCTAAGTGGCAGTGATTTCGGATCAAAGTATTTGAAGGCAATTTTTTTTAGAAAAATTCCGTATAAAACCCTAATTTCTCATATTATTTTATCGTTGATCCTCTTTCCGTTTTTCTTTCAAAGGGCACGAGAAAATACCTACTTATCTATTTTTTTACCATAAAAATTAGCTCCAACAAATTTTTTTATACCATTTTATCTCAAAAAAATTTTTAACCCTCTTTTTCCTTTTCTATCTATTAAAAAAAAATTTTGAGTTGAAATGGTATAAAAATATTTGTTACGAAAAGAGGATCTACCATGAAATAATACGAAGAATTAGGGTTCTATATGAAATTTTCCCTTTTTTTTGCTTTGAATTTGGACCTTCAAATTTGTTTTGAAATGATTTACAATCTTTATGGTAGGAATTCAAGTTTTGTTGAAATAATATCGGGTTTTCAAGTCCAAAGTCATTTTGACCGGAACGTGACAAGAAGGCACCAATTTCTCAATTTTTTTGTGTCTAGTCGCTTCAAATCTTGAATATCTAAAAAAGATTGTCTTATAACTTTAGACCTTAAAAATCCGAAAATATCCATTTTAGAAAACAATAATAATAATAATAATAAAAGACAATACCAATGTAAAAACAAAAATTCCAAAAGCTTTTTATAGGAACATTGGCGCATTTTTAGCAGTATTTTTAGCAGTAAATATATAAACGTTGTACCAAAATAGAACAGTAAAACCATCCTATTCCACAGCTCTGGAGCAGAGAAGATCATAAATCTTAACGTTTTGGATAAATCCTGCTACTGGGGTGTCGACGGGAGAAAGAAAGATAGAAGGCTGTGATTTGTTGATCAAGGGCACTTTACTAAAACTAGAAGGTAGTATTGGTTCAAACATCCTGATCATCAAACCTTATAAATAAGTACACTGTTAGAATAGCATGAAATACTAGAACAGTAGAAGCCCAACATAAATTATGAAAGTGGCCTCTTAGGTTTGGACCTCGTGGTAGAGATATCAGCTTGTGCAAAACAGAAACCACGGATTCGAACCTTTGAAATTTGTCCCGAAAAGCCTATCAAGCTAACCAGTCTTCCATTATTGTCCCTTCGGCTTCGGTTTAGTAAAAAACATATTGAGGGTTTGAAGATATATCTTTGTTGATCAGGATAGTCTACAAAGATATCATTTATCTTTTGTATATGGAGTTCACAATCACTTCTACTTATTAGATGTCAAATTTGATGGCTTGGTGGTAATATTGCCGAGCCCCATGGTGAGGTATCTGACTCCATTCTCACCAAAAGGTATCACTTTTATTTACAAAAAAAAAATTGAATGGTTTGGGGTGAGTCACGAAGTCTTGAGTATTTTTTTTTTTTTTTTTTTAAATTTTGTAGATATTTAATGACATTCATACAACCACTCATTTTAAAATTTAAAAGATAAAAATGATTTTGACCTCTATATATAAACAAATAAATGGCCTCTTTATAGACAATCCCTAGTTGATCAACCAATCTGTACAAGTGTTTAGGCACCTATAGTATCCATACAAGTATTCTAGGCACTAATCTCCAAACATTTTGCCCAACTTACCCAAACTAGAAATGACATTTTAAAGGCAACATTAGGCTTGTTTAAACAACTTTATTAGCATTTTGGAAGAAAGGACACCATCATCATACTGATACTAAGAGGTTTGAGAAGATTACTGCCTTGGGCATGTTTGGATGGCAGTTAAATATTATTACATTGTCTTATCTAGAATTTCTCTACTATTATTTGTTGGTTGTATGATACTTACAATGTATTATATGCAATATCTTTTAATTATTTAACTTTTTGGGCAATTTTCAGCTATTTTTAGTTAAAAACATGTTATTTTCAGCAAGTTACTTTAAAGTAAAACCATGTTATTTTCAAGGAAAAAGTTTATATAAGGTTGCAACTTTAAAATGTAGAATCATCAATGCGCCTAAAAATCTCTCAAAAATTTTATTTTAATGTTTAAAAAAAACTCTAATTGATCCTCTCGACATCAAGATCTATGAATATGAAAAAAAAAAAATTTGAGTCCCGGAAATAGTGCATCTTGCAACACATTATCTAGACCGTCTATTTTCAAGATTTTCATATATTTATAGATCTATTTAATTTTAACTATTTTTAAATTTAAAATTTTCTAATTAGGTATGAAAATAGATTTTAAGATAATACTAAAAAACATTTATAACAAAATTAAATGTTATGATAAAATTTTAAGGTGCACCTTAATTGGATTGTTTAAAGTTGCAACCTTATAGAAACTGCACCCTATTTTCCAAATGCTAAACTTATATGTAAAAACTACATTATATGTAAAAACTACATGGAAGTTTATCTTAGATAATTTTATGAGGGACACCATCAAATAACTAAAAATCCACTATCATGATTAGTTTTAATTTTATTGAAAAAACAAATTATCAATTATAACATGTATATTCAATGAAAGCCTTAAGCTATGACTGAAGAAGTTAACATACACAGGAAAGAGCCCATTAAACCAGTGGGTTCTCCACTCCTTAGCCAACCAACATAAATATATTTACGATTTGAAAGTAAAAGACAAATCAAACGATGCATTTATATTACACGGTGTGGGAGGTCGAATCATCATTAGCGTTTGCTTCAGTATTACTGCTCTCTGTTGATTTTAGAGATGTGGCAGCTATTGAACATTTTCTATCTACAGCAGGGTAGAGCACATAATGCTGAATGATGAAAAGAAGATCAAAGAAGACCACCTCCTGAAAAATATTCACATCACAGTGTTCATGAGCCAGGAGAACAAATAATGGTGCAAAGAGATGAATTTCTTTTTGTCCATTCAAGAGAGAAAGAAGAAGCCAACCACTCATCAACATGGACTTGTGCTCAGACTTGCTAGGGTCTCGAGCCCGAGTCACCCGGTCCAACTCAGGCGAGCCCCAAGCCAGAACACTGATATTTTTCAAATAAAGGACATGGGTTTTGGGGCCTACTCGGAATGAATTCCAAGGCGTTACCCTCGGACTTGCCAGGACCCCAACCTGAGCTGACTGAGGCAAGCCCCGAACCAAGTTGGTAATTTTCTAAACACTGGTCCAAATGACGGGTCAAATATATGTTGGATTTTCTTGAAATGTTTGAATTGCTGTTCTAACATGTCAAGGGTTGTTGAAAACTTTGCTGCTTCTGTGACTTGTTGACATACATACGTTGGTGGAGCATTCCAGTTACAAGGGAGGAGTAAAAAACATATCATAACGAACAGAGAAATGAACAAAGGCCGATTTTTTTCTTATTGATAGTGAACAAAGGCAGAAGTCCAAAGCATAAGTTCCACTATACTCAACACAAAAGGGTGATAGAATAATCCAATGGACTGTGCTGTACTCGGTACATCGGGGTCATTCTTAACTGATGAAATGATGGATGTTGATGGTTAGAAAGTGGGACCCATTAGAACAGGGGATGGCAAGAGTGTAAGGCCCACAAGAAAAGGGTGACCTCAATGGTGGTCCCACTCACCATCCATCACCATTCCTCACCTAACAGTGATGATCCCAGTGGATCATAGAATTGCATCACAATTTCCCAACACAAAATGAATTATGATAAGGGAGTCATGCACTCGATCAAATTCATCAATGACTAACTTGGGGGAAACAGAACGTACCAAGGATAGCAGTGTCTTTCCTATATTGCCATAAAAGTTCACTAGTATTCCTGTAAAGATTTGAAGGATATGCTGTGTGAGTCCGCAGAGCAGAACGTGGAAATTGCACACATAAAATACCTAAATATTAAATTCTTATATGCTGTGTGAGTTCGCAGAGCAGACGTGGAAATTGCACACATGAAGTACATATATATTAAATTCTTAACAAATGGGTAAGCTAGCATACGCTGATCTATCGATTGGATGCTCATCTGTCCAAAGTTTGTTATGCCTCCTAACAAATCAAGTAAGATGTTTCCTATGCTCCATCCTTCTGTACTTTTTCGCCGAAAGTTCATGATCACCTGTGAGGATTAATGCCAAAATTACAGCCAGTAATAACATGCCTTTGTGCCATTGTGGCTAAGAGAGGTTACAGTGGCACTTGGAATGCGCAAAAAGTGGTTCAAGAAGATAGCCTTGTGACGTCTTCAAAGAACTTGTACTATTCAATTACATTGATGTTCTCATGCTTTCCCATTTGATGAAAATCAATAATTTTTGCAAAACTCCATTGCCACCACTTAATAGAACTTTTTGACATACACACAAAGTTTCACTATGTTACTTTTTATCATCCTTATCATTTTGATAAACTGAAAAGAAAGCAGAAGAAAATAATTATCTTTCATCCGCCAAATCTCAATAACCAAGGCCAAACACTAATTATGAACTTTAAGTACTCAAAATGGGTAGATATGTTGAACATTCATTAATACATGAAAACTGCAAGAGGAAAAAAAACATTTAAAGCTAACCTGGGGTATGTATTTGATAGCGGTCATGGAAACCTGTATGAAGCTGAAATAAGAAAACTACCACAAATATTATATTACTTTCATCATTACCAAAGCAACTATTTCCAACGTCAGTTAGAGATAAACCTTCAGTTACTAATACATCCTATTACCCAAATTTATGAACTAATTCTTAATTTCCTGGATAAGACATACAAGCTAAACGACCAGAATATTAAATAAAAATAAATTGCTTGCAAACAAAGAAGCAGATGAATATCAAAACTAAAGTAATGAATGTCTGTTCTATAACTACGAGACTAATTCATGAGCCTGTGATTTCTCAATACCCACAAACACGATTCCTTTGGAAAATCAACCAATCAAAATCAACCAATCAAAATCAAAATCAAAATCAAAATCAAAATCTCCACAAACATGATTCCTCGTAATCACTCAGGTTCCAAGAGGACATCCAATAGCCTAAACCAATCCTGAAACCTCTGTACTATTCTCGACACATAAAACTGTGATATGTACATTTCCATTTCTTAAACAAACAGGGCACCTACCCTGCAAATGGAACATTTGCTTCTTCTTCTTCTTCTTCCTTTTTTAATAATTACTTCTAGATTTTATGTTTTTGAGAATGGTAACAATTACTTCTAGATTTTGTTTTAGTCGAAATGATTCCTAACCTGATAAAAAAGACCGTCTCAAATTGGTCTCAGGAGGTATAACACCTGAAAAGGAGAAACAAACCTCTACAAATTGGGAGATCACTGCATATAATTCATTGACACATGAACATCTATATGAACAAGAATTACCAAATTGGACAATATCGGTCATTGATGTAAAGTCAGTAACCAAAATAGAAAAAATCCATTAGGCCTATAACATTCCCTGTGAATTTGCTTAACGCGAAAAATTTGGTTTCCATTAAGCATAAACCTCACCAATGCATGCATTTTCATATGAACACATTCAAATAATCAACTAAGTTTAACATACTTATTGATCATGTGACATGAAACCAATGTTTCCTCAATTATGAGAAAAAAATAATAAAAAACAGACAAGTTGCTTACTTAAACATAGAAATGCACCAAAGCCAAGATTGCTTTGGCAAAGCAATGAAGAAACAAACTGCAGCGAAAGCCCACACCGCTACAGTTATTAGCCATGCTATCTTCGAAACTTTCTGGGATCCTCTCTGAAGAAAAAGGACAAGAGAAACCATAATCAGTACATTGTGAAGAAAGACAAAACAATAATCGGAGACTTTGGGATCAAATGTACTTCATATATGAACACTTGAACTATGGTAAAGGCCGTCAAAATAACGGCATGGATCGAGAAGGCAACATCATTTGCAGCTACTGGAATCATCTGCAACACGACAAAAGCAATTCATAAACCACTTGAACTAGCAAATAATGAGAATTTTCATATACATGGTGGCCTTAGTCCAAGTAAAATGCAGAAAAGCATGGTATTGGTGTAGAGAGAGAGTAGAACTGTATGCAAATGGGTCGTTAGAGACAGAGAGATTCAAACTCAAGTGAGAAACTGAGAGAGAGAGAGAGAGGGCTGGCAAAGGGTCTGGTCGGGTCGGGTCCAACCTGGACCCGAAAATAATTATGGGACCCGCACCCAACCGGACACAAAGTTATCACACCCAGACCTGGACCCACAAAAATATATTTAAATATGATATTAAATATATGGGAAAAGTTCATAGAGAGTCGAGGCTCTAAAGAATCAAATTTGATCCTACCTCAAAAATTTCAGTAGAAGATGCTGTTTTGATGCTCAAATATCTTCAAATTGATCATCTCGACATCAAGATTCATGAACATGAGAAAAAAATGGATTGCAAGTTTTGGAAATAGTGTATTTTGTCACGTATTTTTAGACAGTCAATTTTCAAGATTTTCAAGTTTGCATAAATACGTCGATCTACACTAATTTTTAAGCTTTAAACTTTATAAATAAATATAAAAATATGTTTTACTGCTATCACAAAACTTTCCAATATTGAAACCATTCTTGATACTATTTAGAGGTAGGCTCTAATTTGATGGTTTAGAGCCTAGGCTATGTATAAACCACACCCTAAATATATACATGTATTATTTAACTATGGAAAAAGTTTATATAAGGTTGCAACCTTAAAATGTAGAACTACGGATGCATCTCAAAAATCTATTGGAAAATATTGTTTTAATATTGAAAAACACTCTAATTGATCATCTTGATATCGAGATATATGACTTTGAAAAATAAAGAGAATTTTGAGTCCTAAAAATAGTGCATCTTACAACACTTTATCTAGACCGTACATTTTCAAGATTTCCATATATTTATAGATCTACTTGATTTTAACCATTTTTAGAGTTTAAAATTTTACAATTAGATATGAAAATAGACTTTGAGATAATCATAAGAATATTTTACATCAAAATTATATATTATAATAAAATTTGGAGGTACACCTTAATTGGATTGTTTAAGGTTGCAACCTTATTCAAATCACACTCTTTAAGTATTATAAGTAGCTATATTAAACACAGGGAAAATTACGAGAAAAACCCCAAAATATATGCCCCATCTAACTTTCTCTCTTACTTTTTTCCAAAAACACAAACTATTTATGCAAATACCCCCCAACCATCCCAAAAATTTTAAAAAGGTAAAACTACCCTTTACCCATTACCCACACCGCATGGTGTAAGTGCGTTTCGGCAGTGTAACACAACGCTCAGGCAGTGTAATACAACACTCAGGTACTGCGTAAGTACGCTCTGACAGTGTAGCATTTCTGAATCACAGGGCTACGACACTATTTAAGTGCGCTCTGACAATGTATTACGGAAAGGGCATTTTCGTCTAAAAAAAAAACTTTTTCCCTTGGGGGAATTTACCTAAGTTGGAAAAATTACAAAGAAACACCCTAAAATAGACTATTTATACAACTTACCCCCACCCCAATCTTTTCTTTCACTTTTTCCCCAAAACAATTTTTCCTCGTAAAAGCCCTCCAACGTCAATAGTTGTTACTTTTTAGACGGAAATGCCCTTCCTGTACAAACCAAATCAATTTGCAGGTCCCAAGTAGCATAATGTCGAAGTGCATCTTTGCACTACTGGAGCGCGATCTCATAATGTCAGAGTGCTGTGGCTCAGACCTGCACTGCCGGAGTGCACATTTAGAACGCCGGAGCGCTTGTTTATATTGCCGGAGCGCGGTCCTCGCCGGAGCACTGTGGCTCCAAAGACTTCATTGTCGGAGCACGTCTTTGTACTAACGAAACGAGTTCTCATAATACTGGAGTACTGCGGCTCAGACCTACATTATCGGAGCATACATTCATAATGTCGGAGCGTGTGTTCGTACTGCCGAAGAGCGTGTGAAGACAGGAGATAGAAGGCTGTATGAAAACAAAAAAGGATAGTTTGATCTTTTTTATTCCATATGCTACTTTTGGGTTTGGGGGGTTATTTGGGAAGAAAGGTTGTTTGGGGAAAAAAAACATGACAAAAAAAATTTGGATTGGGGATAAATTGCATACGAAATTCATTCTTAGGTATTTTTTGTAATTTGCCTAATAGTTGGCTGTTTTGGAACAAAATGGGAGGGAAAGTTACCTTATAAAAAATATATTTTGGGGTTTTTTTTAATTTTTTTTAAAATAAATATTATTAAAATATTATATATTAAATATTATTTAAATAATAATATCCGGACTTAAATAGCATTCGGATCCAACATAATCGGACTCAGGTCAGATCCAGTCGGCGTCGGGCCCGGTTCAGGTCTGGGTCCATTGCATGAGCGAGAGAGAGAGGGGTTCTGACCTCACCGGAGCCATACTTTTGGCGATACTGGCGTTGGATGAAGGAACTGAAGAAGAGAGACGTGTTGTAAATGAGGTAAGAGGAGTGCTTTGTGAGATTGAGGACCAAGAAATCAAAATTAAGCCCCACGACACTGAAATCAAAACCAGGAAGACATGAATGAACTGTAAAAGCAGAAGGAAACATAGAGAGAGAAAGGGGAGAGAGAGAAAAGAAACCTTTTTCTTCTATAGTTGAGGAAGACTTGGGGGTAGAAACTGATGGACCAGGAAACAAAAGCGATCCAACCAAGAACCTGGTACACAACCTCAAGAGGCAAGGAATTCCATGAAGCCATCTCTCTCTCTCTCTCTAATCTCTACAAAGCCTTCTCCCTCTCTCTAGCCTCTACAAAGCCTTCTCTCTCTCTCTAACCTCTGCAAGGTCTTGGCAGTGGACGCCAGTAACAAGCTACACAGTTGTAATTCTTAGAAGCCCATAAGCTAGTCAGTATCCCCACATCAACTCTCTCTCTCTCTAGATTAAGTAACCCAATTAGCCGCCTTTACATGTCATTCTCTCTCTAGATTAAGTAAACCAACAAGCCGCTGTTAAATGTCACTCTCTCTCTAGCCGTCCCGTTATATGTCACTCTCTCTAGATTAAGTAACGCTACTGTACGCCGTTAAATGGCACGCTCTCCAACATTGACGATGCTTTAAGTCAGTGTCTTCAATGTACTGAGACGGAGACGGAGACGGAGACGGAGACGGAGACGGAGACGGAGTGCTCGCTCGCTCTTAGGCTAACCCATTGTCTAGGTTCAATGAACCAGGTAGGACCATAGTCCGGAAGTTAGGCATAATACATTGGCAAACCAAAACATCAAAATGAATCGGTTTCGTTTCAAAACCTAAGAGGAAAAACTCGGATAAAAATTCTGAATCACAAGAAAATAAGATAAATTACAGAATCGTAAATATTTGGATTTGTTTGAAAAAAACATAGTGAAAAAACCAGATATATAAATATGACAAATATAAAATTATGATTTGCAGATATTGTGTATATGCATTAAAGCAGTTGAACAATAATTTTATAGGATTACCTAGTGTCGTTAGAGTATTACTTAACAATTTATTGTCTAAACTTTCAATAAATCCATCAACAATGCTTATTTTATTGTCAATACACAAAGCATATCACATATTTCTTCGGAGCATAAAATGAAATATTAAGAATACTTAACACAATAACTATACTAGTAAATAAAAATATGTAAATTAGTTGTCTATCCTAAATTAGTTGTCGATCCAAAATGCTAGTTGTATACTTCTCTATGCATAAAGAAAGCAATAAAATGCTAAAGCAAATTCGAAACTCACACTAAATTCTTAGCTCTGGTCC